CCGCCCCGCCCGCGGACTCGGCCTGCGCGGACGCCCGCGCCGTCCCGCGGGGCCTGGGTTCCCGGATCCCCAGCCGCCTGCAAAGAAACGCGGATTCCTAGCTGTTAAAGCTCCAGGGGCCTCGAGGGCAGCCTCCTTGTTCTTCAGAAACACAGTTCTCAACAAGTGACTTGTGCAAGAGTATCTTAATCAATTCTTGTTTGTTTTCAGTTTTCAGAGTACTGAATGTGGCTAATTTCTCTGGGCACACTTCGTAAATGTAAAACCTTTAGGACAACTGGACGAAATCCCAAACTGAGGGGGTAAAAAAACGAATTCAGGGAAAACCTGGTCTTGTGGTCGGTGTGCGACCATTTAATTTTTGGCGACTACTGCATGTCCTTCCACTGGGCTGGGGGTCAGTGGGGGACCACGTGCACAGGTCAGCAGAACGATGGAACGCCCAAGGCCGCTGTGGCTGTGGCTGGCCTGTGTGGAGAGGGCGTGGACCGACCACGGGTTCCATCTAGCGCCCTAGTGCTTAAGAAACCAAACAGCAACAACAGACAGTCTGAGCCACCAGCCCTGAGACACGCAGGCTGGCAGGAGACCACACATGTCTTTATTTAGTAAGTTCCTTTCCACCAGGAAGCCTCCAAAAGTCTTCCTGAGCAGAAATGAGGCTTCAACGGGCAAGGCTTTTGGAGAAAGAAATTTTAACAAATGACTTACATAGGGTAGTCCAGAGTGGGGCTGGTTTTTGCCTCAGGAAATCTTTTCTCAGTGAGCCTCAATGGCTGGGGAAAGGCTATTTTTCAGGGACTAGACAAGACTCTGTCAAAGTAAATTACACACTTAATTTTTCCCTCACCAGATTGAAACCTACATGATGTCAGGCAACTGGTTTTTCTTGTTTCCTGATGTCACCCGAGGGCCTAGCAAAATGTGTGGCATGTACTATCTGCACAATAAATACTAACACATGTAAGAGCATCAATGAACCTTAGAATGAGTCTGGCATTCCTGAAAATCACTCATGTAACCCACATGCCAGCCAAGGGCACCCTGTTTATTCCCATTTCAGTTGTATGCACTCAATCCCCTTCCACCCTCCTGACCCCGAGACACCTGCTCAACTGTCTCGTGGAAATGACCCGGGTCTTTTTCCATCTCTTTGTTCCACCGTCCTCTGAGGGCAGGCGTTGCCTCTGGGCCAGCTCCTCTCCTGCTCCTATGACCGCTGCACCAATTCCAGGCATCACATCCAACAGGGAAACCCACCAAAGCCACCTACTCTGGTCTTCTCGGTAGGAAAACGGTCTTTCCCAAAAGTGTCTTAGCAGAACTCCTCTCATCTCACTGGTGGGAATTCAGGCGTATGCCCACCTCTAAGCCAATCACAGATGCGGGAATAGAACCACCATGACTGCTTGAAACCAAAAATAAGCTCCCCTCTGAGCGTAAGATAAAGAAAGATGGTTACCTGACAAAACCAGGGTTCTGTCAGCAAGCATGTAGTGGAGAGTGGGTGCTGGGTAGTCAGCCAGCAACGTCTGCAACAGTCATGTGTTCAGAAGAATGTGTGTTACCATGTATCGTGTGAACAAGCAAGATAACAAGAGAGCTTTATTCTTAAGACTATTAATCCTCACTGTACCTGATAAATAATCTCCTACGCTGCAAGTGTGGGTTATGAAATTTAATGTTACCTGGCCGAGACTATGTCAGTAAAAGGCTGTTTAGTTATGCTATTAGTTGAAGCTCTTCAATATTAACTCTAACCATTTTATTCATATTTTAATTTATTGCAATACTTATTGACTAATGTTCTTTCCTTAATGGAGATCAAAGTATTCAATTACAAAGCACTTTATGTAATTAGACTAAATAATTTCAAACAATGAGAAGAGGTGAAAGCCCTTTCTTATAACACTGAGATATTCCAGTTAAGGATTACACAAGGATTTACTTAAAGGGTGTTCAAAGCTCTATTGTTTACTTTGGTGAAGGGTTTTGCTGCAAACAACCTGAGTGTCCAGGTTAGAGGGCTGGGTAAATTGTGATACAGTCACACAATGAAATGGCATGACCTTCTTTTTGACTATTTTTAGCATTTCATTTATCTCATCTACTAGTTTAGTAGACATACCATTTTGTTTAAGTTCTTAGTGGTTCTGGGATGAACAGTATACATCTTTCATTTACCAGTCTACTTCTCAACAGTAGGACACTGCATAATATACAGTGTAAAACTGTGTAATAGTATACTCTCATTTCCTCCCTCCTTTACTTTGTGATTTTTTTTCTGGCTTTTCTAAGAAGTCAGTGGTCATTCCCAGTTTGTTTTTCCTTTGTTAGCTTTGTAATGTGATTTTTCCACCTTCTGGCTAATTTTAAAGTGTTTCTCTGTACCCTTGATTTTCAGCAAATTGATTATGGGATGTGTGTGTGTGTGTGTGTGTGTTTAGCATGCTGTGGGTTGGTTCTCTGATCATCATGCCTGGAAATACTCTGCCTTTATTTCTTTAACCTTGTCTTCTGTCATTTTTCTATCTGCAACTCCAAGGCCTGCATAGAAGACTACTTGGTATCTCACAGGTAGCGGATGCTCCCTGCAGTTGTCGTCCAGCCTCCTTCCTCTTCGCATTTCATTTTGGATAGTTTCTATTGCTCTGTCTTCAAGTTCTTGTTTTTATTTTGCAGTATCTAACCTGCTGCTAAGGTTATCCAGTGACTTTTTCATTTCATATATTGTATGTAGCAGCTCTGGGACTTTTATTTGGCTCTTTTTTTTTAATGGTTTTCATTTCTTTCCTCATTGTGTTCATGTCTTTAAATCATTAAACATTTGTGTAACAGCTGTTTAAAATCCGTGTGTATTAATTCCATCATTGCCGTCAGTTCTGGGTCTGCTTACATTGACTTACTTTTGTTCTGGTTCCGGGGATTAGATTTTCCTGCTTTGAATATCAAGTGTTTGGATGTTAGACACTGTGGCTGTTACATTGTTAAGGTATCTGAATTTTGTTTTCTTCCACTAGAGGTGGGTTTTTGGTTTTGTTTTTCTTTGCTTTTTCTTTTTTTGCAGGCAGTGAAATTAGCCGTGGACCCCACTGACGCTTTAGAGGGTCGTTTCTAACCCTTGCCGAGACTAAGCCAAGCTTTGATGAAGTGAGATGAAGGCTTGGAGCAGCTCTGGCCCCAGTGCCAGCTTAGCCTCACCATCAGGTAGGCCCTTGGGGGTCTCTGCGGAGGATCTCAAGTGCTCACCAAGCTCTTTCCACCCTGCTTGGTTAAAACCTGAATCCTGCGGCAGCTCTGGGTACCGTTCAGCTCACATCCCTCTGGTAGTTTGTCTCTGCCAAATTCACCGAGGTTCACTCACCACATATGTAGGTTGTTACCATCCAGCTGTTCTCTCTACAGTCTCCCTATAGAAATGTCTACAATCCCTTTCTCAAGAGTACTTTACCTGGCTAATTCCAACTGCCTCGGCCTCCCCAGACTTCAATCTCAGGGTCCTCAACTCAGTGAGAGTCCTGTGCTTTGCTTGGGTACCACTTCCCTGCACCATGGTCTGGAAAATGCCTCTGGACAGAAATCCTGGGCGATAATATGGCTTACTTTGTTTGCTTCCTTTATCTTAGGGATTATAGCCCTTTGTCTAATGTCTGAAAACTTTTTTTCATACATTTTCCCAGTTTTCTAATCGTTTTAAGCAGGAGAGCAAGCCTAGCATTAGTCACTACGTTATGACTGGAAGTAGAATCTCCCTGGAAATTTTTGTAAATAGCTCAATTGAAATTTAATCACCAATTCATCCATTTAAAGTGTTTAATGGTTTTCAATATATTCACAAATATGTGCAACTATGACTACAATTTTTTAATATGTTCATTGACTGAAAAAGAAACTTGTGTCCTTGAGCTATTAACCTTTGACCCCTTCATTTTTCCACCAGCCCTGAGCAGCCTCTAATTGACTTTATATCTGTAGATTTGCTTATGAATTTCTCGGGAATGGAACCATATTGTATGCGGCCCCTCATGACTGTCTTTTTCACTCTGCACACATAATGTTGTGCAGGTTGATCCACGTGGTGCGTGTCTCATCCTTTAATGGCTGAACAGCTCGCCATCATGTGGACAGCCCACATTCCGTGTACCCATGTGTGGGTAACTTTCTGAGATTTTAACTGGTCTTTCTCCCAATGTTTTCCTTGTTGCCTTATTTCCCCTCAAACAAGTATCAGGCTTTTTAGTTCATTTCCTCAAAGGAGTCACTTGGCAGCACAGAAAATAGAGGCCGCCTTCAAGAATCCTCCATCTTTGCTTTTAAAAACTCACTAAGTAGAATTTGGTCTGAGAAAGGGGGCTCCACCCTGGACGAGAGGAGGGGTATGAAAGACATCTCCTTGTTCCTGCAAAGTGCACGGGGGAGACGATGTCTTCCAGGAGAGGAGTGACTTTGCTGGGGACGTTAGACCACAGGCGTAGGGATTCCAGCCTCCCCCGAGGGTTCCAGTTCCCCATACCTGACACAGAGCATCATAAAGTTGCCAGACCAAAGGAAACCATGTGTCTTAATGGTGACCTCTGTGGGCAGATGACAGAAGAATGGAGTTTCCCAGCGCTTCACAGCGTCCGAAACCCTGGAAAGGTGGTGCACACCTAAGGCAGAGCCACAGGGGTGACTGGTGCTGATTCTCCACCAGCCCTAATGTGGGGGGGTCAGAGGGAGGTTAATGAGTTATGGCAATTCTTCCACACCTGGTTTTGAGGCCCAAGATTAGTCTATGCTGCACTCACTATCTGAATTCACTGCAATCAAGAATACTGTGCACATTTCATATACATAACATATAACTCAAAAATGACAGGATATTGTACTTAAACAATGTTTCGTATGCTGCCTGGGCCCTTATTCTGTGAGCTTTCAAAAGATAAAGTTTCCATGTGATCCCTTTCCAATTAAGCAAAACAAGCTTATTCAGCAACATGACATCCTTTACCTTTTTCCCCCCAAAACAACGTGTACCAAAGTTTAACTTTTGGTGATACATAGTGCTTTTTAGTTTTCTACTTCAGAATGAACTGATAAAGCTCTCACAGAAACAGAAAAATAAATTATGTAAAACACTGAAGGCAAATTAAGAAAAAGCAAGCAGGGTTCCCCATTATTTATACCCAAGGATCGTGACTCAATCGATACATAAAGAACAGACCGTCCAGAGCCCCAAGAGTGAGAGTCGGGGGGCGGCTCACTGCAGCGGCCTCGGGGAAGGATGCGCAGCCCAGGCCTCACTCAAGGACGGCCTCGGAGAGGGCGGAAGGGACAGTCCCCATGGTGATGCTCTTGGTGGTGTCATAAGCGCGAACTAGCTCTTCTTGAGAAATCTCAGTTTGCTCCACTTGAGAAAAGGCATACCCATCTGAAAGAGCAAAGCAGCGGGGACTCTGTTAGAGCGCGAATAATGGACAGTGAACATTCTGGTGACAGAAATCAAAACTCCAACTGGAGTGGAACACACTGGCCACACCAGCCAGGCCAGTGACTGAGGCGGGGAAGTGGGAGGGCTGGGGAGGGCTTGGTAATGGAGCAGTTGGCAAACCTGGCCATGTAAGAGCCGCTCGAGAAGCCCTTCCTACACCCTTATTTCTGGGGCCACAACTGACCTGTGGGTGGCTGGACACCCGCGTGTGCGTTTGAGGTTCTCCCCGGGAGTCTGATGTAGTGTCGTGCCCTTCCTGAGAACCATGTCCCGGGGGTGCAGCCCGGCCGAGGGGCCAGGGCACCTGTGCCTGTTTCCATGGGGCTGTGGTTGAGCCCAGTCTGAGCAGCTCAAACAGTGGCCACATGAATCCCTGAATTCACTTCCCCCCACCATTCAAGACGAGAGGCCCCGGAAAGGTCTGAATCTTGAAACTGAAACTTACAACTCGAACCCAGAAAGGTAGCTTCTAAGGCTGAAAACTTGCTAGGGGACAACACGCAGTATTAATATTAAACTTGGTAAGGAATCCATGATGCTGGAAATAGTCCTGCTTTTAAATTTAGCTGATTTAAATAGGTGTTCAAAGCGGCTTACTCAAGTTTATATGAATAACAAGGTCACAGGTAGAAATTCGCAGAGGAGTTAATTCATCTCTCAGCACTCTCTCACTGGGAGGGTCAACCTGATAATCATTTCTGAAAGCAGAGCTGGCATTCACCTGGCAAGGGAGAGAGCTAACCAGTATCTTCATTCTTCTCTGCACCTTGACCTTGACAGGTTAGACGTGGAGCATCACACGTCTGCATGACACATTCAGATTAAAATATTACCCAGATGCTGCCTCTACCCACGTGCACCGAAGGTTTACACCATGGCTCGTTGATGACAATGGAGTTACTTTGAGTGGCCATGCTCCCTGCGGAAGAAAAAGTAACCTGCATCCACGCATTGTGTCCTGGATTATTGACCGAATGGAGTGCCCGTGTGTGGAAGGAAGAGCGAGTGGAGTGGTCCGCAGCCTTCTGTGCACAGTGGCATCGCCCGGCGCTCGTAGGAAGCCCTGTGTCCGACACTAATGGGAGACCCACGGTTCTCAGACCTGAGTGGGCGCTGCCTGCAGAGGGTCTGATTCAGTGAGTCCGCGGTGGGGCTTCGGGGCTGACATTTCCGGCCGCTTCCCAGGCCACGCTTCTGCTGCTGGTCTAAGGACTGTGCACGAGAGCCGCTGTTTCAGGCCATTTTCACGACAGTCCTGGGATGGACGCAAGTATCAAGTTTCCCACCCCTGGGGGTTTCCTTCCTTCCCTCTTCAGACAGATTTGACCAGAACCTCAAAGGGTGAGGCAGGCCCACAGCTGTGGCAGGAAAACCCTGAGGGTTTCCTGGGCACTGAGGCCCCCTTTCCGAGCGTACGTCCAGGCTGGGTCCGTCATGCAAACCACCAAAGGTGGGAGAACAGCTGTCCTCTCCCTTTATTTTAAATGTTCTAAACGTAAAAACATGGAGGGCTGTGAAAAGTGAACATATTAAAAAATAGTCCCCGCTCTTTTAAATGGCAGCTGTGTTTGTATTTTGACTGGTCTCCTCCCCACTCGAATGGAGGAACCAAAACCCTCTTTCTGCTTGTCTTCGTTCTCATCCACCTAAGGCCTCCGGGGGCTGGAGGGTTCAGCCGAGAGGGGATCTTTCTCCCTGGGTCACAGCAAGACACGCACACAGAGAGGGTCTTCCGGGAGCAGGTGATGGTCCAGCTGCGTTGCCCCATCCAAGCGAGGCCCGGGCTGGGGTTTTGGAATTTGCTTTTATACATTAGTGTTTTGCTGTGGTTTCTTTCCTCATTGTAAATATTTGCTTTTGAACCTCATTTTGTATTTGTAGTTCTGTATTCTTTTCCTAAAAAGCGTCCCCCAGTTGATATGAAGCTCTGGCCTTACAAAAACTGGGATCTGCCTTTATGCAGAAGCAAAATCTGTCTTTTGGAAACCTGGGCTGGCTTTCCTTCTCGCAGTGTCCCCAGGAAGGAGCGCCTGCTGGATGGACAACAGGGGCCACAGTCACGCAGCCCACATGCAGGGCCCCTTGGGTCCACCAGCACCTGCCTGGTGGGCATTTAACTGCCATCTGCACCCAAGCGGGGCCTCAGAGAAAACCCCCCCCTTAGCATTTCCCACCTTCATTCATCTTCAGGGAGTCCTGAGGGCCAGAGAGGAGTGACGGGGGCTGGAGAACACACTTGAGGGCCTGACTGGTGACCCTCCCCCGGCCGGCTCCTGATGCATCTGCCTCCTCAAGGCTGAGCACAGCCAGGATCCCGGGACAAGAGGGCAGAGGCGGGACGGGTAAGAGGTGAGAGGGGAAGGATGTGGGGAACCTTCGCATCATTTTTCCCTCCAGCCTGGTAGAATGTCTCGCAGACTTCAGAACCCACCGTGCTGTTCCTTATTATTTTGGCATAGTTGTCTTATTTAATTCACTTTATTATAAATCTGGGAGTCTGATGATACCTTTAAGAAAGTCAGAGTTTTCTGTCTCAAGAAAGAGGTGGTATTTTGCAATTAACTGACAATTTCCTCGCTTCTTATTTGAATCCAACCAGTGCGGGGAGGAGTGGGTGAGGACCGTTACACTTAGCAACACAGAGATCCCTGGTGGCCTTGCCTGGAGCAGGGTCCATCGAGTGACGGGAGTGAAAACCTGAATGGAGTGAGTTTCAGAGAGAATGGGAGGAGAGGAATTGGAGACACTGGACACAGATAATTTGATTAAAAATCGTTGCTGCCAAAGAGTGCAAGGAAATGAAGCAAAATCTAGCGGGTAACGTGTGGGCAAGAGAAAGTTCTTTTTAAAACAACCTGCTGGGTTGAGAAGGATCCAGCAGAGAGTGAACAACTGAAGATGTGGGATACATGGGAGGGAACTGCCCGGGTGATGCTCCTGAGCCGGCAAGAGCAAATGGACAATGGCACACAGAGGACTGGCTTTTCCAGGGGGCATGAGAACAGATCCGTGCAGAGGGGGAGGGCAGACAGTGTGGTGCAGAGCTGACGGCGGAGTCCACTGAGAGCCCGCGGAGGTTTGTTTCCAGCCCATTGCTCTCAGGGATGCAGGAATCAAGGTCATAGGTTGGGAAAAGGATGGGAGAGATGTTAACCCAAATCCTTGAGACACCTGCTGTACGTTGTTTTCTTGTCCTGGGTCAATTTTTAACCTTCCGTTATCTTTCAGGTGTTTCTACCTAAATGTCTTGAGGGAGAGGGGGGTGAGGTGGCTGAGGACAGGGAGGAAGAGCAGTGGCTGTGCCCGAGAGAGAGACCTCACTCCCAGCGACAGGGAAAAATCAACAGAGAACCGAGGATTTTGAAACTTTGAACACCTCGGTCAAAGGAGGGGGACAGTGAGCTCTGCTTCCCGGGAGACAAACACGAGCTGTTCCTTTACGTTTACTATCTGCGGGGTTGAGCTACCCCGCCCCCAGGACGGTACTCAGCAGTCACACTGTCAGACACGGTCACACAGGCACGTCCTGAATGGCTTATTGCAGGCGGGGAAGAAAACTTCTGCAAGTCTCCACGCCTAACTGAAGCTGTGCTAACCTGACACCCTGAAAAGGGGTGAAAGTTTCCACCAGGTAAAGAGTATCTGCAGCCAAATACCATTTCTCCGTGTACACTGGGGAGTTTGGGGCCTGTCAGAGGACCTTGAAAGCAGGAGGGTTTTACCTGCAAGAGCAGGAGACCGGAATTACCTCCTTTCAAACTGCACTTGCTGTAGGCCAAGCGCACTCACTTCACAAATCTAACTGAGCCTATGGGATTACCTTAACTTTCTAGAAAATAGGTAATAATACAGGTAGTTACCTTTTGAAAGAACAAGTATAGTAAAACACACGGACTTAAACTTCATCATCCTAGTGGCGGCAGGTTCAGCTCAGCAGCATTGAGCATGCTCGCAGGGCGGTGCGGCCATCCCCACCTCCATCCCCGGGACTCCAGCCTCCCTACCGGGAACTCTGCACACACTCCCCACCACCTCCCCCAGGAGCCCCCCTTCTGCTCTCTGAGTCTGAATTTGGCTGCTCTGGGGACCTCAGGTGGCCGCAAGCACACAGCACTTGGCCTTTTGTGTCTGGCTTTTCTCAGGCAGCATAGTGTCTTCGAGGAGGACGACCTGACTTTCAATCACCTGCCCTTCCTGTGAGCCGACGGAGTCCCTGTGTTGTGGCCCACTTTACGGCCTGGGACTTACGTGGGTTGCCCAGATCAACGGAGTTGTTCCGGAAGACCACCTCGCAGGGCTGGGGACTCGGGGACTTCGGGAGATTCGCTGTCTCCATCCTGGGACTAAATCAAACACAGCCTGGCTTTAGTTCATTGGAACAGACTTCAGAGGAATTTGTTGGGTGGGGGGGGAGTTGCAAGATAAAAGTAAAAAAAAAAAATCTCCCTCGCATTTTGGAGAATGTTCATATATTTAAAATAAAACGGGTATTATCCGGACACGCTCAGCAAGGTGTTTCTTCTGAAAGAGCATTTTGCTGTGAGTGTCTCTTACATACAACCCTCCTATCTTTTCCAAAGAGCTGAAGTGAACAATAGTGTCCTCTTTGTCCTCAGGCCTCTAAGAGCACCTTAGAGATCTTATGGTGTGTGTTTTAAAAATCTTTGTCCCAGCTTCCTTCTCTTAGGACCATGTTGTCACCTACACTGGTTCAAGACTCCTAACAGCATAGATGAGGACAGGTAGGCTCCAGGCACGAGGGAGATCCTCTCCAGATCCCGAGGCTTACTGGGGCACCTGGAAATCCAAGGACAATACCTTCTGAATCCCAAGGAGAAGGGCCACTACATGAACTGGCCCCTCCCAGGCTGCCATGCTGTGGACAAACTTAGCACAATTAGGGACCTTCATGGCTTTTTCTTCCTTTTTTCTTTCTGTAAGCTCAAAGACGGGGTTAAACAAAATACCCACGCAGCCCAGCCTAGCCTGCTCTGACTCTGGCTCCTTGGACGTCACCAGGCCATCCTAGGGGCCTTCTACTGCTCTGGGACTTGCCATGCACCCTTGCATTTCCAGGAGCGTGGGGGCTCGGGGCCGTGCTCGCCAACCGCAGCTGCTCTCAACAACCGCAAGGCCTCCCGCGTGCCACACCCTCCCGCTGCCGCTGCGACACGCACAGAATGTTTGGTCTCTCAGCTCGGCCTGAAGGGCCTGAAGCAGAAGCTCCAGGGGGGGCCTGGCCCAAGGCTTGTGCCGACAGGCTGGCCTTGGGAAGGGCTGGCTACTGGCTTCCCTCCGAACTCTCCTCTAGGGTGAAGGTTATTCACTGAAAATGCTCCGCACCAGATTTTAACAGGATGGTAAGTGTAAAAACAAGGGGGTGGGGGGTGGGGGTGGGGAGGAGGGGAATGGCTAAAAACTCTGAAAGCAGTTAAAAAGAGTCAGATCAGGTTTTTACTTTGCTCATACATCCAGGGACTGAAGAGCATCTGGTTCTGGGATTTTCAGAACCTGATTACTCACCTGCATCTCCTCCTTCTCCCTCTGTTAAATTTGTCACAGATTAAACACTTACATGGCTCAAAATTTTAAAGAGAAAATCAACACAGGTAGAGACTGAAGCTCCACCTTCCCTGTCCCACCTACCAGCTGCTCACTCCGCTCCTTACTGAGGTCACGAGGAGCGGTCTCCGGGTGACGCCGCAGCGGGGCCTCGTGAGCACAAGCGACTGCGTGTTCCTACCAGCCCTGCCCGTCTGCACTACAGGCTGCACGCTGTGCGTGGCGTCCTGCGTCTGACTTCTCCTGTTAATGTGTCCTGGAGACATTTCCATCTCAGCACACAGCGTGTCCCCGCTCCTTTCCACAGCTGTGAGTGTCTCAGCCTGGGGCTGATCCACACAGGTGTGGTTGTTCCGGAATGTTTGCTATTCCAAATATTGCTGCAGTCCCTAACGCTGGGACATGTGCAGGCATTTCAGGGGTGGAAGGGGGGGTACTTTCCCAGAAGTGGAACTCCTGAGTTGAAGGCTATCGCACTTGTGTTTCTGATAGACACCGCCAAGTGAGCTGACCTAAGTCTTTACTTTCCCATGTTTTCATCACTCAAGGGCTGCAAACTATGACAGGTGAAAAGCAGCCTTTTTGTGTACTCCCCATTTTCATTTCTTTTCATGAGTGACGTTGAGAACATGTTCATGCGATTAAGAACCATTGTATTTCCTTTTCTGCAAACCGTTATATTTCACCTGCTTTTCTATTAGCAGTGGTCCTCCTGCTGATTTCCAGAAACATTGTATCTACTTGGGAGATTAGCCCTTTTTCATGTAAACTTTCTTTTTGTCCAGTTATATTGTTTTCTTTTTTACTGAAGGTCATTTTGCATATCATAAAATGCATAGATCTTAAAAGTACAGTGTGATGAGTTTTAACAATGTATCCATTTCTCAGATCTGTTTTTATGCCAGTCCCATACTATTTTGATTACTACAGCTTTGTAATATCATTTGAAATCAGGAAGTGTGATGCCTCCAGCTTTGTTTGAACCTATGGATGGCACTGGGTAGTGAGAACACATTAACGATATTGACTCTTCGGATCCGTGAACACAGGATGTCTCTCCATTGACTTGTGTCCTCTTTAATTTCTTTAGTCAATGTCCATAGCTTTTGTTGCATAGATCTTTCACACTCTTGGTTAAAATTATTCCTAAGTATTTTGCTATATTTGATGCTATAGTAAAATGAAATTGTCTTCTTTATTTCTTTTCAGATAGAAATGCAACTGATTTTCGTATGCTGATTTTGTATACTAAACTTTCCTGAATTCATTTACTAGGGCTAGAAGTTTTTTTGTAAAGTCTTTAGGAGTTTCTACATATAAGATCATGTCACCAGCAAACAGAGACAATTTTACTTTTTCTTTTCCAATTTGGATGCCTTTTATTTATTTTTCTTGCCTAGCTGCTCTGGCAAGGACTTCCAATACTATGCTGAATGAAAGTAGCAAGAGTGGGCATCCTCGTCTTGTTTCTGATTTCAGCTTTTCACTGTTGAGTATGATGTTAGCTGTGAGCTTGTCATATGTTGAGGTACATTCCCTCTACACCAACTCTGCTGAGAATTTTATCATAAACGGATGTTGAATTTTGTCAGGTGCTTTTTCTGCAACTATTGAGATGATTATATGGTTTTTATTCTTCATTTTGTTAATGTGGCTTATCACGTTGATTTGCAGATGTTGAATCAATCTTGCACCCCTGGAACAAATCCCACTTGATCATGCTGTATGATCCTCTTAATGTAGTGCTGAATTTGATTTGCTAAATTTTGTTGAGGATTTTGGCATCTATGTTTATCTGGGCTATTGGCCTGTAATTTCCTCTTCTTGTACTGTCTTTATCTGATGTGGTATCAGGGTAATATTGGCCTTGTGAAATGAATTTGGAAGCGTTCCCTTGTCCTCTTTTTATGGATGAGTTTGAATATGATTGGAATTAATTCCTTGAATGTTTGGTAGCATTCACCAGTGAAGCTGTCTGATCCTGGGCTTTTATTTGTTCAGAGATTTTGACTACAATTTAATCTCCTTACTTGTAATCGACCTATTCAGATTTCCTTTTATTTCATGATTCAGTCTTAGTAGGTTGCATGTTTCTAAAAACGTGTCCATTTCTTTTAGGCTGTCCAATCTGTTGGCATATAGTTAGTTATAGTCGTTTCTTATAATCCTTGTATTTCTGTGGTATCAGTTGTAATGCTTCCACCTTCATTTCTTTTTTTTTAACATTTTTTTATTGATTCATAATCATTTTACAGTGTTGTGTCAAATTCCAGTGTTCAGCACAATTTTTCAGTCATTCATGGACATATACACACTCATTGTCACATTTTTTTCTCTGTGATTTATC